TTTAAGATTTTAAAATTAATTAAAATTTATTAAAAAGATAATTTTATGATCTACGAAACAATATGAGTTCGGGAGTTAGTTATGCGTGGGGAAGGATTAGTACCCCTATAGTGCCCGTTTAAAAATGGTATCACTTAACTATATGTTATCCATTGATTTTGATAAAAACAATCTTATTTTCTATGTTTGAAAAATAATTTTCTTGAATTTTTATTTATTGAAAATTAGTTTTTTATTATTTAGTGTTCAAATTTTATTCGAGAAAAATAAATTGGAAACCTTTTATTGAAATAATTCTTAAAATGTTACAGTACGTTGATAACATTAGAAGAACTCTTTCTCACCTAGAAATTTCTTAGGCATCGCTTCTCGGAATACCTTAGAATCTCATCTTCGGAGGCTCGAATTTATCTTTCGTGAAAACTATGTTATGCATGCAATGCAAATACTAACATATTGATGCACACATTTTATTTTCTCTTTAGAAATATTATTAAATTAAACTTTGAAGAAAAAGAGGAATTTTTATTATATTGAAGATTTTTTATAAATATTTCAATACACTGGTAATATTTAAAAAAAATCTTCTTACATAGAGATTTCTTAAAGCATATCTATTTAGAATACTTTTAGAATCCCGTCAACGGATAAAATTTACTTTTTTCATTCATTTTTTTATCACTTATTCTTAATTTATTAGTTAATTTTTTTATTATTTTATGATTTAAAAAAAAAATTTTATTGTATTGAAATTTTTTTATAAATACTCCAATATACTGGTGGTATTTAAAAAAATTTTTCACTTAGAGATTTCGTAAGTATCACTATTCGGAGTACCTACGAATTTCATCATCGGATAAAAAATTTCTTTTCTTACATTTTTATTTAATTTATGTTGTTATCGAAAGTTCATTTTTATTTTTTATTATTTTTTTAAGGTTTATCTTAAAATTAACAAAATTATAAAAATTTTAACTACATAAAAATTTATTCTAACAAATTTAAATATGTTAATATGCATAAATATTATAAAAATAATATATAAAAATATTTATAAAAAATTTTACCTGAACAGGATCAGTCAACGGTCCGATCAATGTGAGGTCCAATTGATTCGGGTGGTTCAGCAATTTAAAGTTGGTCTGGGTCGGTTCAACTGGACCGATTAGGGGTCAAACCGTGAGTCAGGTCATTAGGTCGATTGCACGGACCTCGGGTCAGGTCGAGAGGTTGATGTGCTGATCCAAGACTTAAAACGACGTCATTTTGGTCCTTTAATGAAACGACGTCGTTTTGGCCTTCGGCGATTTCTATAAAAGCCCAAAAAAACTTTTTTTCAGTTTATTTCCTCCTCTCCCCTTTCAAAAAAAAGTCTCTCTCCCTTTTTTCAAATAGGTCAAGGGCCGGGATTGTTCATCCTGATGGCCGTCGTGGTCCTTGTTAGCGACGAGTTTCGACCGTCGTCATTGGTGTCAAAAAATTTTAAAAAACACCAAAATACTCCCTTCGACTTCCTGAACCCAAGTCCGACCTCCGTTTTACCAAAAGGAGACCCAAACGGCTTAGGATGCTTTTGAACTTTCGACCAAAACCTTCCATCTCTTTTTTTTTTTTTTGCATTCTGACTTGCTTTTTGTTGCAACTGATTTTGATTGATTTTTTGCAGATGTTTTCGGAGTTAGGTTCTCGTTCCAGAGGACTGTGTTTTTTAATTTTTTTGCAAAATATTTTTTTTGCAAGTCTCCTTCTTTTTCCTTTTTTGTGGATCGGCTAGGAGCTCTATTTATAGAGCTCCGACTGTGGCCCTGTGCCTGGGCAGGTGGCACGGGGCTTGGTAGATGGAGGGTGTCGTGTACGGCACCCCAAGCTCCAACCTCCCTCTGCCTTTTATTTCTTCTATTTACTAGTGTTGGCCCTATGCTTGGGTAAGCACAGGATCCTAGCAAGGGTAGGGGCATGGGGTGTGAGTGGTGAATAGGGAGGTGGCAGTGGTGTCGTGCACAGCACCCACTACCACCGGCTTTTTTGTTTTTTAGTTTTTTTTCGTATTTTTGTTTTTTTAATAAAATAAGATAAAACAAAAAAAGGCTTTGGGCTTAAAATGACAAACTGGGCTTCGAGCCCAATCATAATTAGGCCATGTGCCCTGTTGAATTTGAAATCGAACCTGAAGCCCAGTTGAATTGAAATCAGGCACGAAGCCTAATTAAATTGAAATCGAGCTTCGGCCCGATAACCTAATATATCTGATAAATTTTAATCCAAAACTTAATTAAAATTTTGAACAAATTTGATGTCTACAATTCAGGATTTGAATTATGCACGGATTGTAATGCTTGCCGGATCTTCGTGATTTGAATTGATTTATGCCATTGTTTTCTTATTATTATAGTATGATGTTGCATTATGAAAAATCTATTTGTATTGATTCTTAGCATTTGCCTCGCCCATGCCTTATCAGTTTGCATTTGATTATAAAATTTAAATTCTTTTCACATGGAATGCACTTCTAACAGGTTTACACATGCTGAATCATGAAAATATACGATTCTAATTATTAAATAATTAGTTGCATTGTGATATACAATTATGAGATTCTAAAATCTGGGATGATTTTATCTGTTTGTGTTATTATATTTTCCTACTAAATGATGAATCAACAATCTAAATGTCAAGATCTGCTAAATGATTTTGCTAGGAATTGTTTTTGTACCTCATTTATTAATTCTAACTATAATGATTCAAAATGATTCGGGACTTAGGGGTGTTTTTTTCAGAATCTATATTACTATAAAAAGCATCCCTTAAGGATTTTGTGTTGGACACCTGTCTTTTTTTTCTATTTTTAGGTCTGTTGGTTGAGAGACAGTTGTCACATTGCATGTTTGATAAAAAGGAGTATGTGGCATTGCATGAAGGATATGGTAATGCATGGAGAATAAAAAGATACATGGGGCATGTTGTGTGGCATGGTAATGCATGAACCGGATTCTAAGCCTCCGACCGAAGAATCCAAGAGAAGAAATATCTGTATCTGTAAAAAGAAGAGTCTTAATCGCCAAAGAAGGAATCTTCACCTTCTCCCGCTAATAATCCTTCTTCCACTAGTCTCCCATTGGATGATGAGTGTGAGAACTCCACAGTAACAAAAGTGTGAGCATTATTTCTTTCTATTCATTTCTTCTTTTGGGGGTTTATAAGTTTGGAAAGCTTGAAATATTTCCAAAATTGAAAATTTTTGGTATTTCAGGAATTCAACAGTTTGTGAGATTAAGAGTCAGCGGGAAGAGAAGTTCCAGATGGATCTGATGGTGTGAATCCAGTTTTTATTAAAATATCCAAGCTTTTTCTTTCTTCCTGACTAATTCTTGACCATGGAATTCTAAGATTTTTTTTTTCCTTTTTTTTAGGCTTCTCCTCCATCTAGTCATCTCCAGAAAGAGATAGTGGGATTGATTTTGGGGCCTCAGATCCTAAACCAATTGCCACAGATATGGAATTGGTGAGTCTCCTAGCCTGAAATGTCCCATGTACACCTCTGCACTGAAGTAATATTGCAAAAAGATTTTGCTTTTAAATTACATGCAAATGTCCCTGTCTTTCCTTTCTTCTGTTATGCTTTTTCCCGTTTCTAGAGGTTTTATTTTATTTTTTTCTATTTTGTTTCACTCAGATTTACATATTATTGCTTCAATAGCGGAAGCTTTCATTGTTTTTAAAGTGCCATAACAAGTTGGTGGTTTGGTTTTTTTTTTTTCCTGGTTTTTGGTGCTTTGTTTTGATGTTGCTTTCACGAGTTTGTCAAAGTTTAATTTCATGAGTTTCTATGTTTTGCCTTTTTATCACCATCTAGTGTGTTGCATGCCGGATTCCTGTTCCTTCCCTTCCTGTTGGTTCCTTTTGCGGTAAGGGATGGAGTATAGGTCTGCCGCTGCTTAGTAGTTGGCTCAACAAAGACAGGAATGGAAGTGATGGCGCTACTCCTTTCTTTGTGGCTCGTTCGAAGCATTCTTTCGGGCACTGCAAATTTGTAGGTTATGGATTTTTTTTGGCGACTTCAACGCCAATTATATATCTTTTTGGTATTCTGTTTATGAATTTTTTTCTGTTTTAATTGGTTTTAGCAGATTTAAACTTTTATAGCAGAAGACCAAAAGATATATAAACTTTTATAGCTGGGTTGATTTAATATATGTAATTGAAAACTTTTATAGCTAGGTTGATTTGATATTTGTTTTGTGCTTTTTTGGCATTAGCAAATCTAAACCAATAGTTTAGATGTTATAATGGGGGGAATGCCTTTTTCTTTTCTTCTGCAGATACATGGCGGTTGTGTCCATGGATGGGAGCGCGGTATCTTCTGCGGCTAGACAGGCATGTCACTGTGTTCTTTATGTTCACAGGTCTTGATTTCTTTTTCTTTTTTTTTTTTTTTAAATTTATCTTGAAATTTGTAGTGATTGCATACAATGATTATTGGTAATAGCACAGAACAATTTCTGATTAAGATAATTTTTTAAATGTTTCAAGACATTTTCTTTTCAGCAACTATCCTTTTTCATATTTCTTTACTTTCAAAATGCTTACTCAACATTCTCTGTTTACTTTCACAGCTTATCTAAGTTATTATTTTTATAACTTTTCTGTGCAATTTTTCTGATTAAATTGCTGTTAAATAATTAATTCATAATAATTGTATATATCACTCTAAGTTCAAACTCAATTACTTTAACAAACCAAACCAAGCTAGACACCTACACTAGTATAAAATAAAACAATTGCTTGAACCATGTAAATATTTTCTTGTTCATTTTATCCTTCTCATTGTTGCTTTCTTTAAATTTAATTTTGTATAGAATCCACAAAGAAATCATTAATCCATACTTAATCCAATTAATTCATATAATCATTAAATTTGAGATTAAATTTGAAAACCTGAAATTCTTTTTTTTTTTTTTTTTTAGATTACGATATTCTTTGTTAAAAAAATATATGCAGAAGCAAAAATATACCCATAAAGCAAGCAAAGAGCCCAATCTTATACATGTAATACAATTATTTGATAGATTGCTAACTAGTACTAGTTATATTTATACCCTTCCCCCCAAAAACTATTAAGGAGTCACAGAATTTTGATTGTAGCGGCTCAAAATGTTAGGTATGCATGGCAGAATTAGAAAATTCCCTTGGTCTGAATGGACCGTACGACTAATTGCTTGCATTGAGCCCCTAGAAGCAATCGAGCTTAAGTCTAGCAGATGAGCTAAATTAGTCCAAATTCCTGCCGCCAAGAGGCGATGTAGTTGAGCCTTGTCACCTGTGCTTTCTTTCAGCAACAATTGACAAAAGCCTTAACACACCTTGAGTCCACATATCGTATTCTCTCAGACTCCTGCACTCAAACTCTACAATTCCTCTTGTTTCAGTCTTCAATCCGAAGTAATGACGCGGCTCTCCACTATCCAATAGATGTCTCCCTGGCCATGCTGGCATGTCCTTGCACACCTCCAAAACCACATCTGAATCCCCAAAAGAATAATATTTCTAAGGCAATCGACAATTTGATATTGACAACATTGTCTTGGTACAATTAATATAACTTACTCTTTTTCTTTTTGGTGAATGTCCCACCGACATGCTTGCTTTTCATCTTCAAAATCACCTTCAAAAGTTAAAAAAATATGGATGTTTGCGTAATTGTGTGAGAAAACATTCACTTATACATAAAAAGTAACATTCCTGATGTGTTTGACTGAAGCAATAGGTACCTGGCCTGTCTTATTCGTATAAACAGAGACAACTTTCCAGTGAAGGTCACCTGCACAGATAAAATGTAAACTATATGATTAGAAATCATAAAATGTTTAATTTTGCAACATTAATGAACAGAATTACTACCTTTCCGGGTTCTTTTGAGAAGTTCAGTACCCTTGGCAAGGAGCTCTTGGCTACAGGCAGTAAGGAAATCCTCTCCGGGGGCAAGTTCTCCGCTATAGTTACAGTTTGGATGCCCATTATTGCCTTTAGCACAGGATCCAACGCTTATTCTTTTCTCTGCTGGAAGGACTGCTGCAATGTTCCTAACTTCCTTTAACGCTCTTGCTTTTAAAGTTGCAGCCCCGCGTAAAGCTGCACAGAAAAAAAAAATCTCCATCAATGAAGGTTCATCTTTTATAATGAATACCAATGAAAGTCCAATGGAGCTAATTCTTTTACAATCAAGTATATGCTTATTCAAACATGATTTTCTCCTACGAATAGACTGTACAAAAAATGAAAATCCAAAAGTGGTAATAGAATTTTTTCCTGATTAAAGTTTATAATCAATTAATTTTGGAGAGTCTGTTTATAGAATCTGGTGACTGATGAGTGTTATAGGGTACACTAATTTTGCAATAATGGCAGTTAAAATGAAAGAAGTATTTTGGTGAAGATTTTTTGCTGTTCCAGGGACTAATACTACCTATCAAGCTCCACAAGCTGCTGCAGAAAAAAATAAGATAAGATCCTGGATTGGTGCCAGTGAGAAATCTTTACCGGTAGCTGCAGCAGCTGTAAGAGTCATGAGATCATCATGTGAACGAACATTAACAGCAGAGCTCACAACTGAATCAAGATTGTCACGTTCAGCTCCCATAGCTTCTGCAGCCTCCACACATTGTGCCGCTACTAATGTTGCTGCTGATGCCACAGCCATGTCGGTCTTCGTTGACTGTTCATTTTTTCCTGAGGTAGAAGAAGAAGCCGCAGTGGCCGCTGCAATGGCTGCCATCGCTGAGGCAACTGCAGCAACTGAGATAGCAGCGTGGAGCTGGGCATTGTGAGCTCTGGCTTCTTCCTTCTTTTTCTCTTTCCTGTCTTTTAACCATCTCCTCACTGTCTTGGCCCCGCTGGGTGTGTTAACGCCATTAACAGCACTTGTGCGTCTTCCATTGAACAAAGGTTGCATGGAGTTGTGGGTACGGAAATACTGGAAGAATTGTAATTACAAAGCCAATTATTTTAATGTCTCTTGAATATGGATTTGAACATGCACGAGTATGAAAATGCAACAACAATGGAAACTTAATTATAATCAACAATGGGTGTGACAATGACTTTGTGGTTGTTAATTAGTGAATAAAAAGTCTAAGATGAAGCAGAATCAAACAGATCAAGGATATGTGCCAATCCTGCACAGATGTGACCTGAAAGCTAAAGAATCTGGTGGCCATATGTACTTACTGTATTACTTTCCAGTGAAGAGAAGTGTGAGAGATTGTTTACTTTAGCCGGGGAGGGTTTTGAATTTGGCGGAGGATCAAATAACCAAAAACAGAAAAGCAAACAGATAAACAATGACATGAATCACATGACATTCCAACTGAAAATTTAAGCCAATTTCAAGTCCACAACTTGTTCAAATCAGCTGATCATTTCACCCCCAATATTCATCATCATTCAAAGACAAGCTTTCCGTAAAAGAAAAAATTTACAGCGTGGCAGAGAATCACAGCCCAAAGCTCGAATTTGGTCTTAAAACCAGTTTGGACATAAAGCTTAGACCAACAGCTGGCAATCACATTGTTTAATTTGATATAATAGCTGGTACGTTCATTTTAAGGCCTGAAAACAGGCAGCTTTAGCTGATAAGACAGACACCATAGCAGATCGTTAGGGAAATGAAAAGGTTTTATTGGAAGAAGACAAAAGTTCCTGCTCTGTTTTTTCTGTTCAGTGTATACTAAAGTAAAGTAACCCCAAAGATTACTAGCACCGGAGAGGGATGAGTGATGGTGTTTTTAGCAGAGAAGAGACAGAGAAAGCTGACATATTGGACTCCTGCCTGTCTTCAATGTATTGTTCAACATTGAAGTTTGAACGTATGTACACATGAGAAAGGAGGGAACAGGGAAGTAGACTAGGGCATGTGTACAAGACCTTAACGACGTCGTCGAATTCCTCAGATGCAGAAACTGGAGGGCTATCATTACTCAAAGGTCCGCTGCTGTGAGAGAGCCTCCCTGACGTTAACGGTGACACTTCCTACAAATATATATAAACCAGTCAAAAAAAGCAAACCACACGAAAGATCACAGTGAGTTTCTAGCGCTTATTTGAACATAAAAAAAGAAACTAAAGTTAAGCACTTTTTTTCTCTTTATGTGAAGTATTTACCGATTGTGACATGATGCGTTCGAGAACGAGCTGTGAAGTAGCAGAGGAAGTGAAAGAGAACTGATTGTCAACAGCAGCCTTATCAAGCTCCTCCGTCTTGCCACTTATATCTTCAGGTATAGAAGTGGTGGTGCAAGAAGAGCTGCTGGCAGACTTGGGAACCGTACTACTACTACTACAACTAGTGACTGAATGATGATGATAAGGAGCAAGGGCTTTGGACACTTGGAGAGCTGAAACATTCCATGACCTTGAGAGGAACTCCATTGGACCTCTTGGGCTCTCTGGCAGCTGCGTTCCAGAGAGAGAAAGGTGGGAAATTTTCTCCGGACGACGACGGGTCCTTGGACTTGCCTCTTCCATGAAGAGAAGTTGATAAAAAGTGAAAGTGAGCTTTGGTTTTGTTTTTATAGGCTTTAAAAAAGAGAGGATTTATGGGGCCTTTTATATAGATGACAAGGTTTTCGGCTTACTTTGGGTATATTGGGTATCATCTACCTTTGATAAGTGGACCAGCCTTTTTTATTTATATACTACAACTTTAAATCAAAATTATCATATAAAATTCATTAATTATCGAGCAAATACGATGCTTTATTAAAATTATTAAAAATATCATAATATTAAATTCAAATTTTAACTTAATTAATTTATATTATCAATTTTAAAATATAATATTTATTATACTTAAAATTAAAATCTCAACCCATATAAATATTTTTTAAAATTTTAAAATGCAACATTTTTTTTAAAAAATTAATGCTACTGAATAATAGCACAAAAAATTATTGCCAAAATCAATCATTACGTTCCAACTGGCATCTCCCCACCAGTTTCGCTGTACAATTGAATAATGTAAGGTCTAGTGGTCTAGTCAAAGCTAAGAAAAGTGGTTCAGCTGCGGTCGAGACTAAAGAAGTGAAGGTGGTAGCGTATAAGCTTATTATTTATGTATTTATATAATGTAAATATTATAATTTATATATTTATATTATATTTTATATAAAAATTATATATTATAATTTTTATAAATATAAATATATAAAATTTATTTTTAAAATTTTATTAAATTTATATATAATATTATTAAAATTTTAAAATATTTTATTTTTATATTTATATTTATATTTTTATATTATATTCATATGTTATTATATTATATTTAATAATAATATTCCGTTCGACTGACATCTGTCACTGGATGATTTTATCTTACTATCTATAGAAGGTTTTTTTGAACGTTTTACCGGCGGCAAGATGCTCCCCACTCGAAAAATAATGGAGAATGCATGTGATTAAAAAGCAATCAGCCCCGGGCGGTGGGAAAGCTACGGGTTAAACCGTGAAATTGAAGAAAGATGCTACGGCCGGAGCTAGCTAAAACTAAGCTCTAGCTTGCAAGAAGAAGCATGTGTAAGTTACAAAAATCTCCCATAACCAAAGAAGCATCTTCTATTTTAGGCGTCACTTTCCAAACCCAATGCGGCTCCATGGCAATTGTTGATAATGGTAATTGGAAGTGACCACCACTGTTTTTTTTTACTTACACTAAGCGAATCAAAAGTATTTGAATATAAGTATTAAATTTGATAAATACTGAATTTGAATTATAAAAATTGTTTGAAATTTTACTGAAATTAAATGTTAAATATAAATATATAATTTAATAATTGTAAAATATTAAATTAAGAAAATTTATTATTTTATTTTATTTATCTTTATTTTTATTGCAGATAATGAAGAAATGTTTTTAGGGGATAATAATTCAAAAAATTTAAAAGAAAAATTTGTTGAATATTTTCTAAATTAAGTAATACCTATTTATCTTATTCAACATTTTTTTATGAAAAAAATTCTTTTAAGTGGATTTTATGATGTGTTATCAAACGTATTGAAAACTTAAAAGTGTTGAAAATTTTAATTTTCGATACAAAAAAATTTTAATAGTTTATCAAATAAGGTTTTAATTCTTTTAATTCATATAATTATTTTTAAAAAATAATAATCATTAAATTTTTAATTCAAATTTTAATACCTTTCACATTATAATCTTTATTATAAAAAAATTAAACATTTAGCTTAATGCTTAATTAGTTCTACATGTTTTTCTATTATTCAAAAAGTTGAATTGAATTTCGACCTCTAATATAATTACACCGCAAAAGAAAAAGATATGTGAAGTGTATAAATATATAGTTTTTTTTTATTACATTAAGAGGACAAAATTTTAATATAAATAAGAGGAGAAGAGAAATCTGATTCAAAATCAAGCGCTTGATACCTCTTTAAATATTTTTAATTACTAGACCGAAAGCTTGGAAACAAATATGTGGTATTAAATACTATACCTATACCAACCACATGAAAAAGAAAATGTATCCCCATATTGTAACGTAGGAGGGTTTTCAAACCAGCCTGGCAATTTAGTGTAATCCATCTACAATATAATCAAATGTAGATACTAGCAACATTGTGTACCCTTATATATGCAGGCTGAGATGCATGGGGGTAAATCTGTCAATTAGTATTTTTTATCTAATAATTTATATATTTATATAATATTTTATATAAAAATAATTTATTATAATTTAATCGATATAAATATATAAATATATTTTAATTTTATTAAATTTATTTATAATTTTATTTTATTAAATTTATTTATAATTTTTATTAAAATTTTAAATTATATTATTTTTATATTATATTATTATATTTGAAATTATCAAATTTACCTTGGAGGTCACCAACTCCATGGCTGTGTGAGGTCTCTTGAGGCTTAACGTCCAAGGCCGACAGCACCTTGAGATGTTTTTATTTTTACTACAGTTTCGGACACAAAAGCTGCCTACTCCCAGACGCCGGAGAAAGACCAATGCTAAAATGCGCGTGCCTGGATACGTCATCATCTGTCTTGTCATCTCATCTTACTCCTCTTAGTTTTCTTGCAGAGGCACATATTTTCTCGAAGATCAAATACCCTCCTTCCGTTTGCGCTTTGCATCTGTTAGATCAAACACTAAAACTTTAAAATTATTATTTTTGATAAATTTAAAATTTTGAAGAAAAGATTTAAGTTGCGTGTTATTTTTTTAAGATTTTATTTGTCACATCATATTATTTATTTAATAAATATGTAAAATTATTATAGATAATAAATTTTATAAATATAATAAAATTTAATAAATAATTAGGTTTTATATTAACGAAATTAATTCATTAAATAATTATCAACATATCATAAAATTATTGAATTTTTATAAAAATATTTAACAGTAAAATTTTTATAAAATAAATTTTAAGTTTGAAAAAAAAAAAGAGAGTTTCAAATTTATTTTTGTATCTTAAATCTAGGTTTCATTGAATAGATCGATTCTAGTATGATCCGGTGAGAGCCCTCAAAGATGAGTGAGGGCCGAAATGCACCAACCATGGTTTAGCTAAATCATAGTGCTTGTCCTCGCCAACTTTAATTCTCCATCTTCTTGCTTAGGTTTAATATACGAGGTAAAGCAACATCAAGCTTTTAACTGTGGAAATAAAAAAGACACGGCAAGCCATTTATTATACTCTTCAGTTGCAGGCATTAGCTAGCAGGATACAACAAGCCAAAGCGAGGGCGGAGCAGAATGCAACTTATTATAAGTTACGGTTACACTGCAGCACCCAGCAAACAATAGTTTTAACATAGCAAACAAAAGCTAACATCCAGAAGCCCAAAGGCCCCCTGTTATCTTTTACCCAAGTTAAGAATGCCCACTCTGTTCCCCTTGGATGTCAGAAAAAAACTGTTCATGGAATCAATCAGTAAATAGCTGTTGAAACTGCTCATTTAACCACAAACAATCAGTTTTGCACTGTCCAAAAGCAGAAAGAAACAGAGAGATCACATTCTATTTGTGCCTAGTCTTTCTGCATGAGGTGGTAATACTAACCCAGTAGATAATAGCAACCATAGCAGAATTTCCCCGTCCAAACAGAGCAATCCTCTGTCGCATCCAAACTGTCCCAACATGTTTTCCCTGTCCTTCAGCTGGATTCAGCAAAATTTTGTTAATTCCCGCTCAATGGTACGTTGCTCCCTGATTTTTTTGAGGCCGAATAAGTGCACAAATCTACCACTTAGATCATGCTTGAAGCACCAATAAAAATGTTGTTTGATCATCCAATTCAAATTTAGCTTCTTGGTATACAAAAACGCACTATGCCTTCGGCAACATAATGAAAGATGATCCTTTTCCACTTCATAAACCCATTCCTCATTCTCAAGATTCAAACCTTAAAAGTTTCAAATTTCAATGAGTCCCCTGAAGGACTTAATTGGGACTCAGATCAAAGCAGACAAAGAGAGGGATATGGTGAAATAAGTTGGGGAAAAAGTTGTTTTTTTTCAGAGGTGTGGACAATAAATTAGGCACCTTTGTAGCAGGCAATTAGAAAGGGTTGATGGGGCATGGATATATCTTTAGCTATGTGATGGGAAAAAGGAGTAACAGAAACATGTGAAATGGGATTTAGCAAGCCTAGTAATATCGGCCAGGAAGTGTTTGTTTCTTTCACTTTTGTTTTCAAATTCCATTTTGCAGCTCTATTATATATACTTCTTTTCCTTTTGTTAGATCCTTCTCTTCTTTATTCTCAAATATTCTTGATGATCCATAGCCCTAGATGATGGAAACTACTGAGATTCTAGCAAGGGAAGATGCACATGTACTATCAGAGGATAATGCCATTTTGGTTAGGCAAATAAAGTTTATAGAAAAACAGAACATTAGAAATAATTGAGTTCTTGTAATTGTTTTGAAATTGGTTGAAACGTGTGAGAATAACATATATAAAGCTAGAGGGGATGAATCTCATCTTTCAAAGCTATATGAAAACTAGCCAGAGGCCTGATAGGTTACCAAAATAATCAAGTTAAATATATGTATTGCTACCTTCTAGAAAAAAAGTGATATGTATGTTCTGGTTTAATCTGCTTTTTCTGACCATAAACCATGTAATTATAGCTTTATTTGGTATCTTTTTTACTTCTCCATGAGTCTATTCAGCTATAAGGACAAAATTGAACCATGAAATTCTTTCTCAGCTTTGGGATGTTTATTTATTTATTTATTGTGTTTCTTATCCAATCTCTTTACCCTTTTATAGCATGATATCAGCACCATTCATTTGATTTTCACCCAAATCTTTGTACCTGTGAAGCACCCAGAAGAAAATTCAACCCTAAGTGGTCACCAACACTCTTCCCCTGCCACACATGCTTCCTTCTCCATTCTATAGAAGGTCCTTTTTGTGGACCTAGCTCTCCATTTAAGATTTGCTGGATACTCAAAATCCTTATTTATAACTCAATAATGAAATTATTATGATGAAAATAACAGTCTTCCCACATTTATTTGGATGGGGTCATTCTCCAAATGCATGCACTGCTGACTCAATTATGAGGCCGATTGCAACAGGACTTGAAGGCCATAATTCAGGTAGAAGATTTTGTTCCATCGTTGAGTTCCAAGCAGACCATTGGCCAGTGTAGGCACACATTTTCTATGGCCACAAAACTTGAGGCCCCTAAAAGGAGGATTCTCCTGCCCTCAAGACAGTCAGATGATCTCAGTTACCGTTTGGAAATGAAGCCACTTGAGTTATTGTTTTGCCTTCCATACGCTCTTTATTTCTCATGAATGTCAAACAATAATGCACATAAACATATCAAGAGGCCATTTAAAAGTCCATCCAATTAACCATTCCAATTCCCGAATTAAATTTGTATCGATAATCATATATTTAAAATCATATATCAATTTGCTCTTAAAGCTATAATAATTACATGATTTTCTAACTAGAAGCACTCCAACTGTATTTAATTTGTGTTTAAGAATAATTATTTTTATGTCAACCATTTAAATAAGCCACATTTGTCATAACGGTTGAAATTGTTATCACCCTCCTCTTCAATCTTCTCGAGTCTCTTGTGAGATTGGAGAAGACCTAGTTCCCCACTACGTTTTGTGCTACAGTAGAAATAGATATTACAAGTACAGGGATTGACATCAGTGCAGTCTTGTGCATTAGAGAAATGGACTTATTTGTCTGGATCGTAATTGCATATATATTAATTCCAATGCTTCATGGTTAGATTAATGGCCATGACTAGCATGATAAGCATGGCCGCAAAGTTATTCCTCGTTTTTTATTTTTTTATGATTACCGAAAATCAATTATGATATATATATAAAGACTTGAAAGAGAGCAAATTACAGACCCAATCTCAATTTAAGATCTAAATAGATTATCCTATTCTACTTTGTCAACAAATGCTGGCAAAAGATATAGCTTCATACATTTTTTGTACTATACTTAGTTCCTCATTTATTTCATATCCTTGAGCTGGCCATCTTTGGCATTTTTATTCTGCCATGCAAGGACTAATTGGAAGGAGAAGACAGTTATGATCTTATGATTGGGATATATTATTAGATATGGATTACATGTTTTCATTCAAGATTTTTGATCCTGAAAGGTAACTAATTTTTTCATAACTGGCCTGACCAGGCTTTCCCCTCACCCCCAAGCCCAAAGCAAAAAAGGAAAAAGAAGAAGCCACCTATTTTGAAGGTGAAATGTTTTGGAAAATATAGAATATTTATCACATATTTGACATATTCTAGATTCAATTATCTGGTGCTATAGGCCCTTTCAGGGGATTGCTTAGTAAGGAACCACAAGCTACAATGATTAAACAAAGATTACGACATTGGGGAAAGCCTGCTCAATTCCCAGCTAGATCTGCTCCGGTCTGCCAGAATTGAAGTTTAACTATTTGAATATAGCTCTGATAATATGATCCAGAAGTGGGATCGGCTGAATTTCCTCTATTAAGGAAACCTTATTAGAGAAAAATAAAAACCATGGAAACGAAAGAAAGAAGAGGCCAATTCCACTTGAAGAAGTGAACAACTTGTTGATCAGCCGGTTTTTTTGAAGGAAAGAGAAAGGGAACTACGCTTTCTCTCCGTCCCTCAATTCGAGTCAGAGAAAGACCAATTTATCATTAGCTCTGAAAATTATCTTTCCTTCCGACCACATTCAAAAATCCCCACGTGGAACATTTGACCACGCATTATTTAACAATATCTAAGAGTGTGTGGTCTTAATTTGGTATAAAGAGGTCCCAATATGATTAGAATACGATGATAGAGAAATAAATTATAATTATTAAAATTTAAAATTATTATAATTATAGAAATTAATTAATTTTAATTTTAATTTAAACAAACACGTGTGATCTTAAATTATGCAAAATGCCTGGTCTTAATTTTGTCCCACCTTTTAAGGTTTGTCAATTACAATTATTATCATGTTCCTCCGGCGAGGCCGATATGTGCTAAGCGCTGATGTTTGCTCTCATGACTCTCAAGTTTTTAATAATATTTTTGCAAGAAATCGATGCAGGTAATTGCACCGGGGGCCCATCATGTCATTACTTGCACGTTTTTTACACATGATCTTTAGGTAACTTGTATAGATAGTCACGTCATTATCTATAAAAGATAAAAGATAAAAGAAAGTTTGTAAATATTGCTCTAATTTTCTTTCTGTTTTTTTTTTTTTTTGTTATTATTTTTTATATATTTTTTATTAATTTGAATGTTGAACTGTATTTTAAAATTTCAATTTTGGTGTCCCCTAAGCTTCTTCTGACAAACTTTGACCAACTCATCCTCCGATAAACTCTACTCCTACCAATCCCAGAAAAATATCTCAACATGATTTTGTGTAAAACCTCAAATTTTCAAATTAATTAATCATGTCAACAGAAACGTTGTCTAAGTTATCATTTCTCCTTTCAAATTCACAATTTGGACTTTTATCCACAAAATTTTTCTTTTTAAATTGTTTGTGCATAAAATATAATATATATGTACTCAAATAAGAAAACGATAGTTATAAATTATAATTAAGAGTGTAAATGATATATTAATATTAGTAAATTATTTAGATTCGATTCGAATAAATTTAAATTTGAATTCGATTATTATCAATCATCAAACTCGAGTAGTTCAACTTATCAATCGATAAGTTGAGTATTTTTATATCCGATTCGAGTAGCTCACGAGCCTAATCGAACTATTATATTTAAATTTTTTTATTATTTTAATTAATAAAATATCTCGAATTCGAGTTCGAGTTTCGTTACAAATAATCAAACTCTTCTCAAATATAAGAATCGAGTTTATTTAACATATTAATCGAGCTTAATCGAGTAAGTTCGAGTAGTCGATTTCTAAATCGAACTCGAACTAAGAAAATAAAATTCAATCGAGTTTAAGCTGAGTATCGAACCTCAAGTTGAGAGCAGAACTCGAACTCAAACTTTTCACTATATCAACTCAATTCGATTCGATTACACCTCTAGTTATGATACCACGAAAGACAAAGAATCACTTAATCATTTCAATTGAAAATTAATTAATTATCATTACATTGAAGTTAGTTTCAAAATTTATGATAATTGGTTGTCTTCAGTTTTATCTTACAAATAAATTTAATAATTTAAAATATAATACGATGATATAATATAAATATTAAAAAAATAAAATAAAAATAATACGATTTAAAATTTTAGTAATAATTATATATAATTTTAATAAAATTAAAAAATATATATTTAATATTTTCATGTTACTACAAATTATACACATAATTTTTATATAAAATATTACATAAATATATAAATTTTAATATTTTACATAATATAAATATATAAATTATCATATCTATTTATAAAACCGAGCTTCATTCCGTGATAGTCTTGCTATATGGTTCTGTTTCTGTAATTAATAGTGTTCCACTTATGTGGCATAAAAACAAAAAGAAACAGCTTTGTTTTCTCAATTATGGTCAATTGAGTATCAATTCAAATAATATATTTATTTATTAAATCGATTTTTGAAAGATATAAATTTGAAAAAATATATGCTGGTAATATGTTGTTCCGATAAATTATATAGATAGGAATTGAAGGATTGGTGGTAAATTAAGAGTTTGAAAACAAATAAAAGAAGATTAAGGATTAATTAGGATGGGTTAATATTATGTGCCTCAAATTTAATTTTAAGTTTTCAAAATAACATTTTGTATTATTCCTCTCTAAGTTAAAAAAAAAAAAGTTAAAATCACATTGTTTTCACCTTTTGATATATAAAAGACCATAACAGCTAATTAATTTTAAACATATATAAAAGACGTCAGCAATAGTTTAATTTTTATAAAGTCTCGTACTTTTAATTTTAATAATTAAAATTTAATTTTTTTATAATTTCAAATAAAATTTTTTTTTACAGTTACTGTTATAATTCCGATCAGAATTTAATAATCCTTTCACCGGAATATTTGTATAAACAATTAAATTACCGGCATCACGGGATCTTCCCGAGCCAATTATGGCAAGCTTAGTAAGAAGAATATGATATGAAGCATTCATCTACTAGGGAAATTTAATGCATAACTTTCTAGGGATGGTTTTATCTTCTCCTAAAGTCAATGGAAGGTCAGGTAGTCCAATCACCAACGTCAAGATTTTGACACGTGGAAGACTCCCGGGGTTGTGACTTTCTATCTTAGGACTTAGAAGCAGATCAACCGCACGTGTGCAACAACTTCAGCATTCAGTGTGGACTTTAGGCCTCGCTAAAAATAAATGAATATCAATATTTTCTACCTAACTTATCTCTAAGCTTAAGTAAGGGGGTTTCATTCAAATTTCAACTTTGACCCAATCGATCTTTATTAAACCGGGATATAACCTGCATATCTTTGTGTTGATCAAATTTGTTTTTGAAATCTTAAAAAATAATACTTAACAAATTTAAAATTTTTAAAAAATAAATTAAAATGATTATAAATCTAAATTTACGTACATGTTAATGAATGGGCATGCCACCTTATAAATACGAGGGAATAAGGTCAAAAATCAAAACGATATTGGGTTCTTCCTCTTAAGATTAGATATAAACCTAAATACTTCGGCTTTTTCTTACGCTTGTTTCTTGTCAGCCATCAACTTTGAGATAATAGAGGAAATGAAGTCACGCTCTATATTTAGGCTAATTTGACACCAAGTGGTAAGATTTTGTTTTAAATCAACAAATTGAGTATGGTTTCTTCCATTGGAGACGACAAAAGGAAAGGCATCGATCAAGGATCGTTGTGCTGTAGCCTTCTTGGCAAGCCATAAATTTTGAAGGATAAAAAGATTTAAAGAGGTCAATATTGATATAATTGGTTAATAAAATATTAAAATTTATAATAATTTTGGTGATCAAAATTTAATTTATAAAATTTTAAGTGAAAATAGGTTAATGATAACGTTCTAGTTAGGCGCATTGTTTGGTTTTTGAATGAAAAAAATCTGAACAAAAACTGGGTCTTGAAAATGCACTTCTTCTGTGATTTTCAAATCTTTTCCCCTTTATTTATAAGTGTAGTTTATAAAACTATATCGCCAGAAATTAACTGCCATCAGTTACGTATCAATCGAAGACTCATTCCCATGAACTATTCAGCTAAAAACATTTTGTGGTATGTCACATCACCAATGAATGTAGTTGTAATAAATATAAAAATGGCCATAGTTACATAATTTATTAATAAAATATTAAATTTTTATTTTGATAATTGGAGTAACTTTTGAAAAATAAATAAACGTGACCTTCCACAATTTTGCTTCCTCTTTTAGTTGATTAAGGTGGGCAGGGCAGCCGAGGAATTTATAGTAAAAAATTTTGTAAAGGTGAGAGAGACTCGAAGTTCAGGCGGGTCAACTCGACCAAGTGAAAGAATCCCTTCCATCATCTCCCTTCTATAAAGCCAGCAGGATCATCCCATTTCCCATCCCCTCACTCTCACGCTATCTGCACCATCTTCTATCTCTTCTCTTCTCCTCCACATCTGTAACTTTATCTCTTAACCAGTACAAAAAGCCAAACACAGACACACGATTTTTCCCTGCATTTAGTCACCAAATCTTGTGCTAAACGTGAACTGAATATTGCATACTTTCATGGGCAGCGTTGATTTTGTGTACCCTTCCATGAATGATCATCAATGTGCTCACCGAGTGGCGATTCCTCCGCCACAACCATTTTTCAAGTCATTCAAGAATTCTCTCAAGGAGACGTTTTTCCCAGATGACCCACTTAGGCAATTCAAGAACAAAACACCCACTCGGAAATTTATACTAGGCTTGCAATATTTCTTGCCGATTCTCGAATGGGCTCCTCGTTACAGCTTACAGTTCTTGAAAGCTGACCTCATTGCCGGGATCACTATCGCCAGTCTTGCAATCCCTCAGGGTATTAGCTATGCAAAGCTTGCTAACTTGCCACCCATTATCGGCCTATGTAAGTTCTAAAATTAATATTAATTTTTTTTGGTTGATTGGTTGGTTGTTGTTGAAAGGTAGGCCACTGATTCACCTTTTTTTTTTTTTGTTGGGAAATGAAGATTCAAGCTTTATTCCACCACTGATTTATGCGATGATGGGGAGCTCAAGAGATTTGGCAGTAGGGACTATTGCTGTTTCATCACTTCTCATAGCTTCTATGTTGGGGGAGGAAGTGAATGCTACGGAGAATCCCTCGCTTTACCTTCACCTTGCTTTCACAGCTACTTTTTTCGCCGGTCTCCTACAAGCTTCCTTAGGCCTGTTAAGGTACATTAATTCATCGGTAGCAGGTTCAGGCATATAAATATGTGTTTATTCTCTTCCCCTTGGATAAAGATAAGACCCTAGTATCTTCTTCATGGTAAATTAATTTTACTTACTTTGTTGTTGCTGATGTTGTTGTTAAATTACTGGGCGTATTGTACATATGCAGGCTAGGGTTCATCGTGGATTTTCTTTCACATGCGACGATTGTAGGGTACATGGCAGGGGCAGCCACTATCGTGTGCTTGCAACAGCTAAAAGGGATTCTAGGACTTGATCACTTTACTAATTCTACCTCCATTATATCAGTCATGCGCTCTGTCTTCACCCAAACTCATGAGGTCATCTATCTTTTACTCCATTTCAATACCTTTATCCTTTTTTTTTCTTTTAATATTGAAACAGACGATTTCATCAAATCAATCATTGAATTAAAAATATTCAGACATTTAATAAACAAATATTTGATATCATTATTTAAAAAATAAAAGAAAGTAAAAATATCGTTACTATATATGGTATTTCTACTACCTAGCTATCGACTATTATGAAGTTTGTGTTTGTATGCCGTAGTTTTCTTTGGTTCACGTAATTGTCTGACACAAGTAATATATAACATTTGGCAGTGGAGATGGGAGAGTGGTGTCTTGGGCGTTGTTTTCCTCTTCTTCCTCCTCATCACCAAATATTTCGTAAGTCCATCTAATCTAATCATTAATTTAATCTTTTGATAATTAAATCTGATCTTTATTAATTGTTAACTTGTTAATAATATTTAGATCGACTCTAAAATTAAAGAACTCGAATTTAAACCTCACTCATCTAGCTAAAAGCTTGTTAAATAATTAATAATGTAATTCAGATTAGTGTTAATTTCCACACTTTTGATGTCAGCTGCCAAATTTACAGGTAAGATAGCACAAATAAGGAATGAATTTCCGAGAAAAGGGCTATCATTTAACATATAATCAAGAAAAAAAATGTTTCTCTTATTGGGTTGTTGTCTATAAAAATCTATGTGAAGCAACTTTTTTTCCCTTTAAAGTATATGCATGATCACCTGTCTCAATAATTTAACCTCTAAACCTGCTCCCACTTCATATATTTTACTATATATTTATGGCAAAGCAAGTATAGTAAATGATGTTAGATCAGGACTCTACTTCAATCTTCATTGGCGTTGAATTTTCAAATTGGCAAGACTTGAATTTGGACTTTTAAGTTTAGAGGAATCGCTTTTGATGTCATTATATGAGAAAAGTATTTTTTTTTTTTTTGTTCTTGATAAGTTAAATAGTCTAATAGTATATGATTGGATGGTTTGAAAACAAACAGAGCAAAAGACGACCCAAGTTCTTTTGGATATCTGCAATGGCACCTTTGGCATCGGTCATTTTTGGAAGTCTTCTCGTTTATCTCACCCATGCGGAAAAACATGGTGTTCAAGTGGTAAGCGCTCTGGCTTGCCTTCTTCTTGTTTTTTAATTCCTCACCTTACCCCTTTTTCTTGTCTTAATTAACTTTTGAACTTCAGTACTCTACCTCTTTAGGAGACTTAAAGGTCATCCTTTGAAATATATAATCAAATAATCTTTAGTTAAAAAAAAGGAGAATATGTAGACAAGCAATAATTGATGTGTGATTTTATATTAAAAGGAGTAAGATTCGAATTTTTTTTATTAAAAAAAAAAGCAATTGTAATGGTTTTGATATATAATATAATATATATAATTATAATATATAATTTTTATAAAATATAATATAAATATATAAATTTTAATATTTTACGCTATATAAATTAATCGACATGAACTTTTGGATAAGCTGTTTTGGGCAATCCTAATAATTGTTTGGTGTCCCCACCCCACCAATAATATCACTGCAGCGTGCTCGCCTATTGGATAGGTCCCAATCCCAGCATATATCTCTTGTTCTATGGGGCCGGTTGTCGGTTCCCATCAATTGATTTTCCTTTGTCGTTTGCCATTGGTTATTTGCATGCTATGGTTAGACAGAATAAAAGGACGAGAACATTTTGCCATTTTATATGATTAACTAGAACAATATATGCTACTTATTTCTTGTCACACATTGTTGCTTTGTCTTTAATGTTATGAAAGATGAAGAGTTCTGATCTGTTGCAATTTTGGTGGTGTGATAATGGCAGATAGGAAACCTGAAGAAGGGGTTGAATCCACCGTCTTTTGGGGATTTTGTATTTACCTCGCCCTATATGTCAACAGCTGTGAAAACTGGCATGATCACTGGCATCGTTGCTCTTGCTGTAAACTGCCTTTAACTTGTCTCTAACTCTACACATTTTCGCTTCCATTTGTGTTTTACGATGCCAAAATTACCTCTATTTATGGGGAAATGTGAAGCATTTCTTTGCACAAACAAAAGTTAGAAAGCCAACAAGAAAGAAAATGGAGTAGTTTTTATTAAGCCAAAATTGCATGGCCATAGAGACATGGAGTATCTATTGTCTTTTTGTATGCATTTCCTTTGATTGTTGGACTCATGGGGAAATGACAAAATATCGACTGAATGAAGTTGTTGGTTGTTGTGAATACAGGAAGGAGTGGCAGTGGGGAGAAGTTTTGCTATGTTCAAGCACTACCATATTGATGGGAACAAGGAAATGGTAGCTATTGGGACCATGAATATTGTTGGTTCGTGCTTTTCTTGCTATCTCACAACAGGTAAAAACTTTTCAAGTTTATTGAGGTGATAGTTCACTAATTTTGCTCATGTGCAACTTTTCTAATTTGCTGATTGTGTCATTGCGCTGTTGATATATTTCAGGGCCATTTTCGCGATCAGCTGTTAACTTCAATGCAGGATGCAAAACAGCAATGTCGAACGTTATCATGGCCATTGCAGTTATGTTCACATTGCTGTTCCTAACACCATTGTTCCATTACACTCCCCTCGTTGTGTTGTCTGCAATTATAATGGCTGCAATGCTTGGCCTCATTGATTATGAAGCTGCAATCCATCTTTGGAAGGTTGATAAATTTGATTTTGTGGTGTGTATGGGTGCATATATCGGTGTCGTTTTCGCAAGCGTGGAGGTTGGCTTAGTCATAGCGGTACGCTCATATCAACCAAACACAGCTGAAATGAATTAAATTCTCCAAACACCTCACCTGATGAATCCTTTGTATAATGCAGGTTGCAATTTCTTTGCTCAGGTTGCTACTGTTTGTTGCGAGGCCAAGGACCTTTGTTCTTGGAAACATTCCAAATTCCACCATCTATAGAAATGTTGATCAATATCCAAATACAAACAATGTTCCTGGTGTTCTTATACTTGAAATAGATGCTCCAATTTACTTTGCCAACTCAAGCTACTTAAGGGAAAGGTACTAGAATTTCATTGCTTAAAACACCAAATCAGTTTCAACTTTATCAGACAAATTTATTGGATCAAATCAAACTTATGCTGATCCCTGAGATTGCTAATCTTATCAGGATCTCAAGGTGGATTGATGAAGAGGAAGACAAGCTGAAATCTACAGGGGAAACGGGCTTACAGTATGTTATACTTGATATGAGTGGTGAGTAATTTATCCAGCAAGAACTGCAGCATATTATTTTTCCTAACATAAGAATAAATTTAGCATCTGACAAAGATTGCATTTTTGGTTCACAGCTGTTGGCAACATTGACACCAGTGGCACAAGCATGCTTGAAGAGGTCAAGAAAACTACTGATAGAAGGGGGCTCAAGGTATTTTCTCCTGTAATTTACTTGCATTCTGCAAGATGGTCAATATCTAACACTAGGCTCAAGAAAAAAAATGTCCATATTCTAATTTTATCTTTCAAATTTTGTAGCTTGTATTGGCCAATCCTGGAGCTGAAGTGATGAAGAAACTCAACAAATCCAAGTTCCTAGAAAACATAGGTGAAGATTGGATATATTTGACGGTAGGAGAAGCTGTTGAAGCCTGCAATCACAAGCTTCATACATGCAAACCAGACTCCACCAAAGAGGAAACACAGCCATTGAACAATGTCTAAGCTAATATTTGATGCAGCAGAAACATGAATTTTTTTTTATTAGTTTTTAATTAAAGGCTAACTATGTATAAGTATAATTCACTTGTGAATCTGAGAATCAGGAAGCAAAGCATGTTGGGCAATGGGCATCATTGAATCAACAAGAAATGATTCAATAGCCAAATTAAGCTCAGATGCCTCAGTTTTTCCTCTTCCCCCAATATGAAAGTTGTTGGATACATATCATGGCAATGAAATTTTTAAAACAAAAAAGGCATCTTGGAATGCTGTTGACAATATTACTGCCTAAACAAGTTTTCCAACTAAGCCATTAATGCATTATGTAATTTTGCTTAGATTAGAATTACAGTTACTATCTCTCCTTTGGGGAAAACTTGGCAAATAATTCACAGAAAGCTTTGCCCAAGTCTAATAATTGAATACAAAGGAAGAAAAAGGGAAATTACCTTGACTGACAAATTAGAAATTAAATTATTCAAGGAAGTTTTTTTTGGATAAATTTAACATTAAAAAATTGTATTAAATTTTAAGTTACGCAAAATTTAAGTGTTGAATTTATAATATAAAAATTGTTTCTCATGCTATTAAAAAAATTAAATGCTACTAAATTTTTTATAAAAATGATTTTATAATTATTTTCAATAAATAAAATTTGAAAAGAAAAGAATAAATAGAGAAAAGGAAAGAATAAAAAATAATATTAAATTATATTATATATTTTTTCCACGGACTGTACAGTTTACTCTGCTCTCACTTTAGCTCGATTTGTCCTTCACTGTCTCGTGTATCAAACATTTGCTGAACCCAGACCCCGTTAACAGCAATACTGCATTAGCCAAACAAATCAGTTGAAGAATTTTGTTATTCTCTTACGGTTTCTGATGGCTCCTGCCAAGAAATCGAAGAAAACGAAGAAATCGTCAAAGAAATTGAAGAAAAACAAAAGCGTTAGCGTGGTTCCGGTAGAACCCAGAGTTACCGAACCCGATTGGTGGGTTAGTTTCTGGCACAAGAACTCTACAACCCCAGGTTCCAATTTTCAACTTAAAAAAAATTTCTTTTGCCCATTTCGCCTTGAAGATAGCTTTAATTTTGTGTCATTAAGTAATGGGTTTTCATAGTCATAGCTAAATTGCCCACCTTTAACACGGTTAGTTATCAGGTTGAAGCTGTATTTGGTGTCATATTTTCAGTTGGAATAATCGCATTACTTTGCTATTTGTTTGAAGTAGACAAATGGGTTCTAACATCTGAAATGTAGGAATTGAATTTGAGCAACAGTGAAAAGTTCTTCTTTTTCCTTTCTTTGGGTATTTGATTTGTTTGCTTTACAGTGAGAAATGAAAAATTTTTTGTTTGATCTCATTGGAAGTGAGTCCCAATTGGCAGGTCTTTCAATACCATTAAATGAGGAAGAAGGTTTCAAGTATTTCTTCAGGGTTGCAAGGAAGACATTTGATTACATTTGTTCCCTTGTGAGAGAAGACCTTGTGTCAAGGCCACCATCAGGGCTTATCAACATTGAGGGGAGGCTTCTCAGTGTTGAGAAACAAGTTGCAATTGCCCTAAGAAGGTTAGCGTCCGGCGAGTCTCAGGTGTCAGTTGGAGCTTCATTTGGGGTTGGCCAATCTACAGTTTCTCAAGTGACTTGGAGATTTATTGAAGCACTGGAAGAACGTGCCAAGCACCATCTTAAGTGGCCTGATTCCAATAGAATGGAGGAAATTAAATCGAAATTTGAAGCATTATTTGGGTTGCCTAATTGTTGTGGAGCTATAGATGCAACACATATTATCATGACTCTTCCAGCAGTTCAGACCTCGGATGATTGGTGTGACCAAGAGAGCAATTACAGTATGTTCTTGCAGGGAATTGTTGACCATGAGATGCGATTTCTAGATATTGTAACAGGTTGGCCTGGTGGCATGAGTGTGTCAAGATTACTCAAGTGTTCAGGAATTTTCAGGCTCTGTGAGGGTGGTGAACGTTTGAATGGAAGTATAAGGACTTTGTCAGAAGGATTGGAAGTGAGAGAATTCATAGTTGGTGGCGTTGCATATCCTCTTCTTCCCTGGCTCATAACTCCATATGAAATTAATGGTCTCTCGTCTTCCATGTGTACCAATTTTAATGCCAGGCATGAAGATGCAAGGTTGCTTGCAGTGACGGCATTTTTGCAGTTAAAGGGCAGTTGGAGAATCCTTAATAAAGTCATGTGGAGACCTGATAAGCGGAAATTGCCTAGTATCATTTTGGTATGTTGTTTACTTCATAATATTATCATCGACTGTGGGGATCAGTTGCACCCTGATGTTGCCTTATCTGGTCACCATGATTTGGGTTACCGAGAGCAATATTGTAAGCAGGTTGATCCAACAGGCAAAACCCTGAGGGAAAACCTAGCCAAAATACTTGTTGCAAAGTAAAGGGAAAAGTCCAGCAAGATAATAGGCAAGATGATGAGCATTTGAGGTTGAGCGTCAATTGTGTTATGAAAAGGTTCAATAGGGGTGGACCCCTGAAGAAACTATGATTTTTCATTGCTGAAATGGATATCCTTTACATACTGATTGCCATTTGTTTTTTCAGACGTTAGAGCAGGTTTTGGTCATGCTGTTGGTTGTTCCGAGTGATAGTCCAGGTCTAGCTTTAAAATGAGACTTAAAACTGAGCCTTTTAAGAATCATGTCATTAATTTTTCTTCCCTGCTGATATGGTTCCAGTTGTAGTAATGGCTCAGCTGCAATTATTGACTACAATGGCAAATTGATATCAAACAAAATCCTGTTATGGAAAATAAAACTTGTTTCTCAACCAGAAAATGCCATAGTCAAAGGGAACGATAGTCTTATCTCGTACCCATCATGGCATTTGTCTCCCCTAGGTATGCAATACGGGTGCCATCAAAGATTACATCTAGTCTAGACTGTTTAGTCTAGTATCATTCCATTTGGAGATTCAATTGTCCTGTGTCGTCCTCCAAAACCCTTCTGACATACATACTATATATTTTTTTTTATTTAAAGCCCAAGAACATCCCTTTTTCCGGATCAATTCAAGCGGACCTAGTTATGCGTGACCTAGCAAATTCATAGAAAGATACTTTTCCATAACCTCTCAGCCTATTCAAACCCAAACAATACAGAAAAAGGCACTCTTTTCGTCACTTGAGCCAATCATAGCAACTGTAGCAACTTGGCCACAATTCTGAGCATGTATGTTCTTCCAAAATTGCACTGTAAAAAGAGCTCACTGCACTCCAGAGTGAAAACTTAAACAGCTCCCAATGCAATGCGCAAAAGATTATCCATTGGAAAACAACATTTGTTGACTTAGAAGAAAATTACTTCCATTGAAATCCATATTTATGCCAAGGTAAACCTACAAAGAAGGGAACTTGTAGGCTATAAAAGTGCAGTTTCTTTCGATTAGATAATGCCTGAAATATACAGCAGGATCTCTAAACTAAAGAAGAAGGGCGCCTCTCTAACAAAGTGAATATGTGAAACACAAAACTAGGAATATAGATTTATTGACAATGCAACTAAAGTCTCATTACCTGTCAACTACACTGATTCTGTGCCGCTGATAAGTAATTGCCTCAATCTCCTTTAGTTGAGGGTCGCACACATGCGCAAAAGGGCGCTTTCTTCCTATTCTGGCTGGTTCTTATTCCACCATAAATATAGTCCCGCAATAAGACTCTTGCTTTATGCTCTTTGTTTCTGGTTCGTCCTCTGCTGTCTTTTTCATCGTCAAGCTTCAGTAAGAGAAATTGTATTTTCTGCACCTCCAACTGCAACTGCCCAATCTTTTCAGACCCTCTTTGAGCTTGTTCTGATACTCTCCGCCTCCTAGCACTCCCACTCTCATCCGATTCTAATGCAGATTTCCCATCAAGAGACCAGGAGCCGTCTTCAACATGTGTCATCAATTTGCGATTGACATCAATTAGCTTCATGATGGCTTCCTCAGCTTCTTCTACCTGCTCTTTAACTGTACCATATTCAATTCCTTTCCCCTTTTTGCTCGTCTCAGTTATCTCCACCTTCCTCTTCAGATCCTGCACAGTTATTTGAAGGTTAGCCAACTTTTGTGCATCAGAATCAAGTCTTTCTAAAATCTTCCTCTTGCTTTCTCCCTGGTTGGGCTCTGTATATCTCTTAGAGCTCTCTTTATCTACACCCAACTCCTTGACAGGAGATTCAGTAGAGGGATTTTTGCCTTTGGGTGCCTTCACTGCACCAATCTGTTGGTAGTCAGTTGGTGTAGTGACCATCTTCTGGGCTTTGTCGGCTTTCAGGTCGATGTTACCATCATGGTAAGTAGTTTCCAACAACTCAAGCATCTGATCATCAACCTCTGCAGTTTCTCTCCTGCTTAACCCATGGGATGAGCATTCAGATATCTGATCAAGCATAATGTCTTTTGCCGTCATTTCATTGTCCTCTTCAGATATTTCAGGTGTTGGTTTCTGCATTTTGACATTGTTACTGAGTCCATGGTCAAGTACCCCCCCTTCTTCTCTAGCATTCACGTGCCTCTTTGCTCTAAGACTTTCTCGACGTGAGCTATTTCCAAATCTTAACTCTTCAATCTGACTCATAGCAGTCTCTAATTTGGAATTGAGATTTAAGTTTTCCAGCATTGCAAGCTTTTCCATTTCCAGCACTGCTTTTTCAATAGCATTAATTCTCATATGGATAACTTGCAAGTCAGAAATATCATCTGAAACTGAGGCCATTCGACCTTCACTTGTTTGTTGACAGTTTTCAGCACGCAATTCTGTCCCCAGATTAGCATCCTGGTGGAAACGAAGACCACTGTAAGTCAAAGAATCACAGATGATAACCATCCAAGATCCATGGCACTGTTGACATAAATGATAACTTACTGACAAGAAGGTCCCATTTATATCAAACCTATTAAGATCTAAATAGAACTAGCTTACACTTTCACAACGTTCTGACATGCTTTTAGTATGGCAAAACATCTTGGTAATACTACATGCAATATCTAGGCCTTGCAGAAGTAAAACAAAACCAGCAACCACATATTCCATTACCATAAAGATCAAGAAAACTAGTTAAAAAAGCACATGAAATTCACTATATGACCCATTGGAAACATTAATTCAACAAAAATACTAAATAGCGTTCTGGAAACAAGAAATTTCTAAAAAGATCATGGTTGAAAATTATACGGAGCAAACACGGAGAACTAGGGACATTAATTTGCAGTCAAAATTTTGAAAGTAAATAAAAAAAAAAAAACTAAGAATTTTAAAATATAGGGAGCATCAGTATCAATTGCTTGTGTAAATAAACCACTAGATGCTCATATAGGTCACAGACATATGTGGTTGCTCAAGAACTAAAGTCGTATATTCACCCAAATAGTATGACGAAGGCCATATTGCTTTGGTTTATTAAAATTTAAAAGGTAAACATGAAGTCATAAGCAAACAAACAGACATTTACCTTTACTTCTTCATTATAATCTATGGGAAGTTTAGGATGCAAGAGAGTTCGACTCTCCAAAGACGTCACACTGTCCATAAGAGAAACAATAGCTGGAACATATGCCGCCAACTGAGCTTTAAGTCCTCCGTTCTCACATTCCAAGATTCTGACACTTCTTTCCAGCTCTTCTACCTCCATAGCTTTGGATTTACTTCTACTTTCAAGGACTTCACATTCCTTACTGAGCTCATGAGCCTTCTCTTCAAGCAATGCTTCACGGACCACAGAAATCTGTAGCTCGCCAAACAATGCAGCAGCCTGAGTTTCCCAAAGATCAACATCATTTCTTCCCTTTTGCAATTCAACACTCAATCTCTCCTCCCTATGTTTCCTTTCTTCAAGTTCCTTGTAGAATTTCAACAATTCAGCCTCAAATTTCTGATTAGCCTGACGAATGCTTTCAGTCTTCTTACTTTGATGATCATAGTCCCCAGATAGTTTCACAATTTGCTTCTTTTGATCCTCTCCTATCAGCTTGACCTCCTCATATTTAGTCTTCATATCCTCCACAACTTCATGCAGTTGGGCTCTCTTTTCTTGACTTGCACTGAGCATTTGTTTTGCTTCTGAAAGCTCATTCTCCTTCTGGCATAACAGGTCCTTTCCCTTTGCAACTTCATCATTTAACTGATCACCAACATATCTAACTGAAACCAGTTCATTCTCCAAGTTTTTCACTGAATCATTGAGATATGAGTTTTCCATTTGCATATCTTCAAACTTTCTCTCCATTATCCTCACTTTTTCCTTGAGATCATTATTGGCACAATTTAGTTTATCCAGATTGTCACTGAGATGCTTTATTTCCTCAAAATTATCAACAATAATATCCTTGAAAATAAGAGAAATGTTACTTTGAGATATTCCCTCAGCAAAGACAGCATAGTTTTCCTCTTCTAGATTATGTTTCTCCTTGCCCAAGTCTAGAATTTCCTTCATCAAAGACCTTTTCTCATCTAGCACCTTGTTGTTCTCTTCCAGTGAACTCTCATATGCCCTTTGCAAGACTAACAGTTGCCCTCGAATACTCCCTATTTCAGTCTGCAAAACTTTTTCTCTTTGGCCTCCCCCTATCACTTTTGATCTCAGTTCTTCATTCATATCTGCAAGTTTTTCGGCTCTGTTATGCAGTTCTGAAAACTGCTCAGACTGAGCCTTCAACTCCCGATACAGTGAATTCTTCTCTGTAGCAACATTTTCTGCCTCTAGTTTCAGTTGCCCAAGCAGTGCAGTAAGAACTGAATTCTCAATTATAAATTGCTGATTTTCATCCAGGGACCTTAGAAGTGAATTTTGCATCTCTTGGAGTCTGCCAAACACACAGTCTACAACTGATTGGTCTTGTTTGATCTTATCATCATAACCATGTATAGCATCAATCTCAAGAGTCCTCAACATCTGATAAAGCCCCATCCTCAGTATGGTAATTTGATCAACTAAGGATTTTATCTCCATCTGTTTTTCAGAATTTCCAAGCTCCAATTTGGAGATAAGTTTTTCTGATAATTTGGAGGTTTCCAAGAGTTTCCTACACTCGAGCAATAGAGATAAATTCTTCTCTTCCAGATCTTGTGCACACTTCTGCAAGATGATAATTTGTAACTGAGCATCCATGGCCTTGTCCAGTTCCTCTTCATATTCTTTCTTCCAGCACAGACTTTCCCCGTGTAGAAAATGAATCTGAGTTTCCATAGCAGTTAATCGGGTTTCATTCAACTGCACAAAACTAGCATGCTCTTGCTTTTCAGCCTCTAGTGAATTTAGAAGCTCTTCTACTTCATGAAGTGTTGATTCTCTCTCTTTCTCCAGACCCACATATTTTTCTTCTAATCCCTGATATCTTTTTTCTAAATTTTCCAGCCTTTTCTGACTGACACCCAACTGAGAAATTAAACCTTCTCTATGTGTTATCAGGCCAGACTTCTCATCACCAAGCAACAGGCATGAATTTTCTAAGCTCTTTAATTTTACCCTCAATCCTTCAAGTTCGGCATTTGCATCAACAAGGGAATTTTCCAGAAAGTTATTCTTTTCCGAGAGCTTCTCCAGATTCTCAGTTGAAATCTGTAACTGAGAAATGAGTGTATCCTTCTCTGCAGCAAGGCTGGATTTTTCTCTCAAAAGAGATTGACAGGATTCTTCCAATGTCTTTACTCTCCCCCGAACACCTTCTAGCTCGACATTCAAATCTGAGAGTGAATTCTCTAAAAGCGCATTTTTCTCAATAAGTTTCTGCATGATTTTCAACTTCTCTAGTAGCGCCAGCTTTTCATCTCCGTCTCTTTCGCACACATCTTTTAGCTTTGTGTTTTCATCCTGCAATTGCTTCACAGATGATGCAAAGTTTTCTGTATCTAAGCCAACTGACTCCAGCTGCCCTGTCATGTCCTGGTGTCTCTTGTTAAAATCATCGAGTTCCTCTTTCAAACAGTAAATTTCTTGCTGAAGGGCATTTCTTTGGTCCACTCCCAGTTCAACTTCCATTTCAAGTTTTGCTATAGTCTCCCCTAAGCTTAAGATC